GTCATTACGATGTCACGCCCTAATGAATATTCATGCACTCGTACAGCCTGTAGCCATGCAGCAGCCTGGTTACTGGGCCGTGCCGTCAGGATCCAACCCAGCTGGTACAGTGTCTGTGTCATATGCTGGTGCCGCTGCTACTCAGGTGCAGACTCCTGGACAAGTTCAGGTAGGAATACATCCATAATTATTTAATGACCGTAATTTCCTCTTGACCTTTACATGGGTCGCTAAGTTCAGCAATGAAAACTATTTTCGGATTGATGAAATGCACGCGCGCGGTTGAAATTACTCACACAGTTGACGAAGTACAACTACTTGAACAAGCGTGTAAGTTGTGAAAGAAATTTTGCAAGGCCAATGAGTAATACTGAAGCCAGAAACTACGACACAGACCAGAACAGGCTTAAAAAGTGAACTGCTTGCTGCGTATTACTAATCAATTAACACTAAACCTCTTACAATTTATTTTCTGTGAACACAATCTGCTACGCGTAATTGATGTATGAAAAATTCATCATTGTTCTCTGCGGGCTGAATGCAACCGCCCGCGTCCTCTTGTAAATTCGAGCCACTCAAATCTGTTCATTAGAAGTGGTGCAAGGATATGGCTACTGATTGGCGGGAAAATTAGTCTGAATAACCTACTTGCCAATCTGGTAGCACAGGACCCAATTCCAAAAAATGTACACTCCTTAGCATTATAAACTTCTGCTAACCGATAAAACAGTACTTCATAACTAACAAGTACATCAGTGGCTTTTAAGGACGTTCGCGCTAATTGTTTTGTGCGCATCCTTACTGCGCACGCAATTTACGTGCCATGTCCAATCTCGTTCCTAGCGTCTTCGTTCCCCTTGACCAGCGGTCGGAAAACGAGAGCTCTGGGAGCAACAACTTTGAAGTAACCGAATTCTGGTGATTCTGCCCATCCGGTTTCACTGCGCAGTCTGCATCTATGCGTCTGCCTGAAATCAGAGCTCTCGTTTTCCGACCACTGGTCAAGGGGAACGAAGACTCTGGGAACGAGATTGACGCCATGTCATGCATCGAGCACGTGCACCAAGTAATAAATGAACAGTGCAAGGTTACGTGGATTTAGAAGTATTTACTCTAGCCCCATCGAAATCCGTTCCTTTAATCTCTTCGTTTTGCTGTGCGACAGCCTTGATTACCTCTTTCACTGTTCAGTTATGTGTAAATGTCGTCAACATGTGGAATTATTGACACAACAGACTCACTTATACAAAAATGTGTGTCACAACTCTTTGTTTTAACCACAGTTTCCCGAGAAGCCGCCACCTTATTCATACCCACAGACAGGAAATGCACCACCATCAGCTGCCCCCTCTGGTGATACTCCTTCCGAGGCTGTCCCTGTTGATGTGTGAACACAGCTGTGATATATATGAATGCTGTTATGGTGTATACATTAGAGAGAGTTATTGTAAATTAGTACAAGTAGCGCACTATGCAAGGCGTTAGAAAAAAACCACTTGTTAGTAGTTAATATAACTATTTGCAAACAAATATCGTTTTCTGCTATGAATTAAGATTTTATTATTATTTTTTTTTTTTTCAGTCGTGCTAAAAATTAGCTGCTAAGTTCATGTATGTGAAATGAAAACACGTAAAAGCAGTGGACACACCAGTCGCCTCCTAAATAGCACAGTAAGCCATGAAAAACTCGCCTTTCTTACGGAAAGGCCATCAAAGAGTAAGAGTGTCGGGAACCAACGTACTGGAAAAATTAAAAAGAAAATCAGGGCCGTTGCCAGAAAAGATGATGACTGAGGCATTGTCCATGGTGAAATTATCTTCCCAGGTATTTAGGGTGTTTACGATGACTACAAACAACAAAACGGAAACTGAGAAAAACGTGGCAGAGGTAAGTGCCTGGGCTGTTTGCCCGTTACTAGCCACGGCCCTGAAAATGACTGTGGACCATCTCCCTTCGGACATCTTCACTGATATAATGAATAGCTGACGCCCCGTCGACTCTAATGTTTTTTTTTTTAAATTGAAAACGCATAGTTTTTTATGTGTTCTGCGTACCGTCCACACTTATGCGATACAAAACGTTCATTTTCATCGAAGACGCATACATTTGAAAACGTAGTCCAGCGAAAACTTCGGCTAAACAGTGACGTCACATCGCATGGGCAAAGGACGGTTGTGGGCTTTCGTGATGCACATTGCGTTTCAGTGTGGACAGCCGGTAAAACACTGCGATGTAGG